TTGGTAATGAGATATTACTAGTATCACAGCTAGGCATTAGTGGAATGTTGTAAAGTGACTGGATTATAAGTCTAAGAGTCTTCTAGATTTGCCAAATACTCACTTAAACCTCTGATCTTTGTGGCAAGACATCAATGCAGTGGCAGCACCAAATGAGTGTCCAGAAACGGCAATTTTACTGAAATCCAATCGGCCCTGTAATGATAATAATTGAACAAATATCACATTAACAGTGTTAACCTTTGCAGTGAATCATAAATCTAGGGTGTCAATCAAAATATTATAAACATAGGGTGTCAATCAAAATATCATAAACCTAGGGTGTCAATCAAAATATCATAAATCTAGGGTGTCAATTAAAATATCATAAATCTAGGGTGTCAATCAAAAAATCATAAACCTAGGATATCACAAAGTGACGTAGGAAGTCAAAAATATCACATCCTCCAGTCTATGTTACTCACCTTAAACTGGTGAAAATTACACTCATTGTCCATCATATTCGTAATGTTTTCACCACTGTTTAATTGTTCTAAAAGATTTAATGCTTTCACACATTCATCGGCTCTGTGATTCACCTGTAAACATATTGATACTATATATAATCATAAATATACTTTACTGTAAACTGCTTAGTTTTCAGATATAGATATGTTGGTGATTGGATGATATTATGGCATATGTGAGACAAAATTTCACAAAAGTCGCTGTGTCGTAGGAAAAATTTTCATGATCTTCATTAACCCTCAAATTTCCAAAAATGTCTCTCTTGCGAAGAGGTTTATAGTATTTATGTACTTAAAAGGTGGCGATCTTTGCCCAGCACGTGTTTAGATTCTGTAAACAAACAATTAATTTTGTGATTTTCCCATAGCATTATTCACTACTGTAGCGTCCATTTTGAATTCAAAATTGGTCAAAATACATACAACTGAGATTCAAAAATAATAATTTAATCAAAAGTGTGTCAGTCATGCTTGAACTGAGTAAAATTTGCATCTATTTTGCATAATTAATGAGCATAAAGTATGCAACATTCAGTAGTCAGTATCCATAGTAACTATTCAAAACAATGGACATTTTGGGCAAACGACTCCCATTTTTCGATGGCATATAAAATATTTTTATAACGTTGACTGAAACATTAATCTTTTTTGAATAGATACAAAGAATATTGATTACCAAACATTGCCTACTATTAACCATTAATTAAAATACATTACCAGATGTTCATAATTTTATTTTGTTTTCCATAAAACTGAGATAGAAAATACATGGTCAAACAAATATCAATGGAATTGATTTGAGTTTTAAAAACCCATATTTATCACTGGTTTCCTTAGTAATAAGGTCTCATCATCCTACAACATTTAAGGTACTTATATTTTTCATAACAAAATAATGCTTTAACAAAACATTGTGATAATTTGTTTAACCCTATTTATAATAATGAATGCCGGCCATATGATCTTAAACTGCCTTTTTTTATTCAGCATGATCAATGCAACAAAAAGACATAAATTTCAATAAAAAAACAAGTTATTGGAAGGAAAAATCAATCATGTTACAAATGTAATTTACTAATTATATTATTATATGAGCTTAATTCAAGGATACCTCAAAGTATGCACAAAGACAGTAGAACGGGAGTATCAACCGTTGCACAGCGAAGGTCGATGCGAAAGTGTACTGTCTGAGTGCATACTTTGAGGTATCCTTGTAATAACCTTCTTTGTGTAGGGTTCGGTCAAACCCTGGTGGCAGCCATGTTTGCTTTTATTATTAGACAATGCTTACGTGCATAATCATTCCATATTTGGATTCGCATTTCCTAATATGGTAGGATGAAAATACTCCGTAAAATACCGCAAAATTACGGCATGCTGTAACTTATGGTGTTACGGTGACAGATGTATAATAATAAATAATATCCGTATTACAGCATTTCATAATACCATATAAAGAATTGCCAATTTAAAATAAGGAATAATTATGCAATATTTACAAGGTGGCAGATTAATTTCAAATTAAAATGCAATGAGAAAGTTCCACTAGATGTCTACCAATAATGTGATTATGAGGGCATCACAGAGCAATGACTCAGACACTACAAGTATGTGGCTAAAAAAAAAGATTTCCCAGTTGTGTCAGGCGGAGCTACATCACAAGTTGTTTCATGTTGCAAAGACGTGCCACCACTGTACCATGCATTTCTATGGGCTCTGCGCATGCTGCTAAGGAAGGCCGAGTGAAGAGCTGGTGAAAATTTGAGAAAACAACAGGAACTCAACTTTGAAGTAATCCTGAACAATCAAATTTATATATGTTACACAAGCAGGGGTAATGTTGTTACACTGTTCAGGGGAGTCTCAACAACCATCCCAAAATACTGTTTTCTGAAAGTTTTCAGCTTTTGTTTTCACCGTGATGGTTGCCATGCAGTGAAAATGCCTGGATGTCCGCCCCGAGAATAAGCATGACAGTTAAGCATGACAAAATCTGGTGAATTTATTGCAAGTGTTAGAAAATAATCACCTGTCTACTTCTGAGTGGGAACTCGTCTTCCCCAGGTACAGGTCTTTCATATGGAACCCACTCTTCAACTAAGTCTGTACCTTCATCACTTGGATGAAGATAATATGTAGCAGAAGCTGATTTGTCTCTACAACAAATAAATATATACACATATGACATCTGTCATATCATAAAACAACACTACAATTAATCTGCATCGCTGGCGACATAAACAAAAGATATATACAACTGTCCACCAGAGGGCATTCTCTTGTTAGAATATGATCTCAAGTATGTGATGTAAGATGGAGAGATCTTATTTCATGTTACTTGACGTTACAGTGCCCTCTTGAAGAAACTTGTGGGGTTTTGTATTAAAGTGAATTTCCCAGATGTGTCATGGTTGTCGGTTGTTAGTTGAGATTGTGTTGACATACTATTAATTTATTTGTTTGTTTGTTTGTTTGTTTGTTTATTTATTTACTTATTTATTTATTCACTTATTTATTTAATTATTACCTGTGTTCCACAGCCGCGACTACAAAACCCTGCGATGCCATTTCTAGACAGATTGTGGTATATGTCGTCCTATTGGCCCCTAAACCGTGAGAAAAAACCATCACCGGAAATGATGATTTGTGTTGACTTGGAAGTAATGGACTGTTCCAGTATGCCGGTACTCTGTATGAATCTGAAATACGCAGAAGATGCAGTTACAAATGTGAAGATAACATAGTTTTTTATAAAATCAATGTTAAAAGTATGGTGAGTGGATTCTGAAGGTGATGATAAGTGATGTATAGAAAAGTTAAAATTACAATCACAAAAGATGACTGAACATAAGATTCAGCCACAGATGATGAATGCATGCTATGTACAAATATCACGTTACCATTGCTGAGAACTAATCTTGCACGGAAGTGGTCGTCATGCCACGCATGCGCAAAATACGAGTCCCACATAAACAAAGATGGCGACTTTGACTGTTGCGCACACCAATAAGTACAAACTGAGACATTACCAAGCTTTAGCTAGGTAATTTGTTTGGTAGTTGGAAGATATCAAAAGAGTCACCTGTCAATTAGTGTATGATGTATTTAGGTCAAAACTCATGCTTGTGATCCCATGAGAAAAACGCATTGAATTATGGGAAAAATCAATGTTTATCGACACAAATGTTGCACATGCCTCGCATGTCAACCACTGCTATTTAAAAGCATGCAACAAAAGCTAATGCATCCAAGATATTTTCTTCTCATCCTCTGGAAATGAGCATGAAGGACAGAAAATACGAAAATAATGTGTCATCATGATCATGTCTACTCAAAAAATGCATGATTTTAAAACAATCACATGTGAAAAAAACACACCTAGACTGTAAATAAAAGTTCATTTATCCTTGGAACATGTTAATGATCTGCAGGAGTATGAAACAAGATTATATCCACGTTCACGCACAAATAATAAAAAAAAAACAGATATATGACTTGTAAACAATATGTAATCAACATTTACGGAGGGTGAAAGGGGCGTGTGCCACTGTGTGTCTGTTTCAATGCTGCAATGCAAATATTTCTCTTATGTTCATTTCCTGAAAATTGTCGTGAAACTTGTAAAGCATGTAGTTAGTGTGATGCATCAACAAGAATTGTGAGTGTAGTGAGAATCCATGACAATTTTTGTATTTGTGTGAATCAAAACATATACACTAATGTTAAAAATGCATTAACACGACATCTGCTTTTATTTTTGCACTACATGTTAAAGGGTGGTAGTCTTCACGCCGCGCATGCGGGGGATATGGGTCTCATATAAACAAAGATGGCAATTTTGGCAAACTGAGAGATTACCAAGCTTTAATTAAGTATTTTTTTTGTTGGTATTTGGAAGGTATCGAAGTAGTCGCTGGCAGTAATTAGTGCAAGTGGTGCCCAGGTCAAAACTCGTAATTGCGATTTCATTAGAAAAGCGCATTGAATTGTAGGAAAATCAATGTTTATCAACACAAATGTCGAACATGTGTGGTGTGGTGACCACTGCCCTTTAACCGTTTTTATTTAAAAAAGACAAAGTTCATAGGAAAATTGCCAAATTGTTTAGCAGTTAAAATTTCCCTGGAGTCCTAAGACACAAAATGTCACAAATTTTGTCTTCTTAAATGTCATGAAATCTTGAAATCTTGAAAATTACAGTTTACAGTTTTTGAAATGTGACAATCAATTAGTATGCATAGAAGATAGTGCATACATTTACATATAATTATAAAAGTACATACCGAACAACCAGCTCATCCATGACTTCATAACACCGGATGACAATTTAATAAACTCAGCGTAACCGATACCGTATTTTTTCTTGGGTAACCACAAAGGATGCTGGGATTTGTCGGGTCGTACGTTATTACTTTTCACATTGGTCGGGTAGTAGAGACGCAAAAAACTCCTGTAAGCAAAAAAGATAGAGGGATATGTCACATTTATTTGACAAAATGTTTTTAATTGTCAGGTTAAGTTACTGTAATTATTTTCGCTGGGGTACATGGCTAGGCTAGAGTCAGGATTCACATATACACTGGGGCCTGGTACGTTATATCAAAGCGTGGTGGTCGTCATGCGTGTTCGAATTTCATGTAAATGAACAATGTATTTGACACGCGTTATATACGTCGCTATGAGTCCCATATCGAACAGGATGCGGCACGACTGCCGCCCTTTAAAACAGAAACAAATACACGTTATATTTGCAGAATGGTCGGTAAGGTAAGGGATGATCTGACATCATGACTGGATTCTTATAAAGTATAAGGGCCGAGGTACAAAGTTTAAATACATATCAATATGTATTCTTTTATATACTATTTTAATACTGACAATAAAATGAACGGTAATTCTTGGACAGCATTTGTTAAAAGATTATTCACATTAACTAAAATTAGCGATGAATCTAACACTATAAAATTCAAAACCAAATTCAAACAAGTGTACTATAATAAAGTCTGGTTGCCAACGGTATTTAAACCAGAAAAGAATAAGCTACGTACTTTTAACAAGTTTAAACAAAATTTTGAATTTGAACCATATTTACAACAAATCAAAAATGTGCAACACAGGGTCAGCTTCACTAAGTTTCGCATTTCTTCTCACGCGTTGCCAATTGAAAAATTTAGATATAATAAAACACCTCCAGAGCAAAGGTTTTGTTTTCTATGTAATGAACAGGCTATTGGGGATGAATTTCATGTATTACTCACATGTAAAAATAGTCAGATTGTACAAGCTCGTATTAAATTTGAAGCTGAATTAGCAATTTATGATGACAACATTTGCAAGTTATCAACTCATGAGAAATTCAAGTGCTTGCTAGGCACTAAAGATAGCTTCATTGTCAATTGCTTGGGAAAATTTATTGATTTTATATCTAAGCTTTAGTTTAGTCTATTGTTTTGTTTGTGTTTTTCTTGACCATTGATTTATTGTATGTTTTTTTTTCATTCATGCTAAATTTTGTGTCAAATAAAACATCTATCTATCTATCTATCTACTATTTCGTCAGTGAAATGAACTCACCCTTCCGCAGAATGACCAGTCATAACATCAAAACAACCAACCAAAAAAGGTCCCTGTCCAGGTGGAACTCCAAGATGTCTCGAAAAAGGCCAGGCCGACATGGTAAATATTCTGGGTGTTTTTATGATATCAGTTGCCGGTACATTGCGAAGAATACCCAGTATTTTCGACGTCAGTGACGATGACCTCACGGTCATGTTATCTGAAAAGTCACCTGATACTTTGAAGAATCACATGATATTGACCAAAATCCCGATGTAAGTGGAGTTTGATTGTAAGTTTCCGCCTTAGTTTTAATATTGTGTGTCGTACTAGTACTATATTCGCTAATACAAGTTAGATTAGTTATATTTTAATAAGGATCAATACATATGACGGTCGGTCGCTTGCCGTGCACGTCGCTTGTCATCGGGAAAATAGAGCTGATAAGCGCCACCAGCGATAACATTATTGAAAACTGCTCTTTTTCTTTTATCTAAAGCGCACCTGGTCGTTGGCGGCGTAACACAACGCACATGTACTGTGATGTTAATGAAGGTTAGGTTAGCAGTAGGTTGACGATACGATACACATACAATGTACATCTAAACATCACTGTCAATCTGAAATACATTTCGATTGGAATAACTGTAAACAATGTACGGTGTTGTAAATTATAGGTATATATGTAAATCTTCTCGTACATAAAATATACCCAGAATTTACAATTTTTCATTGCAAACAATCACTTTGTAAATCGGTGTAGTGCAATTCCCTGGCCAATATAAACACCTTAAAATATTAAGATTGTGGGACTCGGACATGAAAAATTAACTGCAGAACATGAGCCTTTCAAATTAACATAAATTAACTATTTTCGATTACTGTTACTGTCATATTGTTCCGAAGACCAAAACAGCAACAATGCCAGCTGAGTTGCTAACCGGATTTGCTAAGCGCGGTTGTAGATCTTGTAATGCATCATCATCGCCGGTGACCGCCGAACTCGGCGAGTGGTAGAACTCGCCCACTCAACTGCATATGTCCGAGTTCGACTATATTCCCACTAGTCCAATACTGCCACGGGGTGCTTACATAGCGAGTTTCCACATCTAGATAAATCATAGACCTTATGGATAAATCGAGGGGCAAGGGGGATAGCTGGTACAGGTTACAAGAAATAAAAAAAAGGCATTTTAAGTTTTTACAGGAAATAAAATGAAAGTTCCATTTACAGTAAAAAAAATAGGTGTTTACACTTTACAGATAAGGCAAATTACTAATTACATTTTCATAATATATTTGATAATTTGTGTTTAAGAATCAAAATTGGAAATTACGTATGCATTACAACATTTGATGTGGAACATGCTTTATAGGCTTACAAAAAATAAGATCTTTGTACAAATTACGGACGAATAAAATAGCTGATTACATTTTCATGTCTACGAATTTACGTTTTTTATTTATTTAAATTACATTATTACGAAAATAAAAACAATTGATTACAGCTCACGAAAATACCTCTTGCCGACCCTCATAAAAGAACACGGTCTCTTTGGCATTCTTTTGGGACGAACGGACACGAATCGCCTCTCCCCTCACAACACCCGTATTTCCGCATTTAGTGGTCTGAGCATCAATACCGCGCACAATGACGTAAATAAATAGAGTTTTGATTGGGCAAGCAACTACCGTGACCCTTGACCGAGTTCAACGACTTCTCTTTAACTCTGGCTCTTCCTTGTTGCATAACATGAACACCGTTGATGCGTCTGTTTCTTGTTGTCTATCGCTTAAATGTGCTGCCGTGAATATATCGATGTTGGCAGCCAGTCACCAGAGTACTAAAGCGGGCGACCGATCTTTATTTGGAGTATCACTAACGGCGTCGATGGCGTGGGAAAGTTAACGAGGATTACCGCTCTGCGTGACATTGCAACAGGTTGAAGAGCACTGATTGGTCAGACACCGATGAATGAATCGTAATTGTCATGGTTTCAAAAGTTTAACCAGTTATGTGCTCATACTCTCAGTAAATCGATATTTTAGTAATTTAATACGAAATAAATTGTTACGTGGCGGTTATATTAGAATCCACGTCGGCGTTTAATTTTATAAATATTTTTGCCCATAAAAAAAATTATATTAGTTGTGTTGTTGCTAAAATTCGAGATGGTTCGTGGCCTCAGTGTATTGCAAACTTTAGGAATTTTCTGCGTGTCATTTGTGATAGTTACATCGACTGGATCATTTTCTCGAGTTCCTTTCCCAAAAGACCAGCGGACAGACATTAAATTCCCACCAGTCATCAGGAAAAGCGATTCTGGAATACCAGATGGGCATCTCCGACCTTTAGGTAAGAACGTGTTTGCACAGTCGTGTAATTTTAGTGGTATTACTTAGAGAACACTTTTGAATATTTGGGCACAATCCAGAATTTAACTTATTATTATGGGACATGATTTTTTTTAATTAAACACTATCAAATTTACATGTGCATGTACAGACAGGGAGCCCAGGAACTATAATCAACTGTATGAAGTTTCTATGAGC